CAGTCAAAGTGTGCAGCACAATTCAACTGGGGAATAAGCATAGGGAATACTGGAGCACTACAGAGGAGCACCAGAACTGAGTGCTAGAAGCAAAGTTTCAAGCTAGATGGAAGTCCAACAGCTTCCTCAAGATCCTGCATCAAGGTCCTGCATCATGAACAACAATAACCTTTATGATCACCTGAGTACTTACAGGTCCAACACACCATATCAGAGCTTCTGGCAGCTACAAGGCAAAACTACAGTTCAACCCAGGTATCCAAAGCAGTCATGTTTAAATCTTAACCTCCCTCCAATGAACTGAAAAGCTGGGCTCACTCCCATCCTGTTTGCATCCCTGCCACCCAGTGAGTGCTCCCTCCTCCTGTTACCCATTACTGACTTCTGCAACTGCCATTTTAGCCAGAATATGGGGACAGCAGCAACCTAAAATAATACCCCAAAACCCCAGTGCAGAGCCCATAGGCCTTTTCCTCCAGTCTGGGCTTCTAGTTCCAGAGGCAGGAAGGCCAAATGTGCCCAGACAGTAGAGACAAGAAACCTGTAAGTAAAGTGATGGTGTTTGCACTGAACAAAGCAGCTTCTTACCTTGCATGTTGCCACTTAATACACAGAACAACTGTAGCACACTCCAGAAGTGGCTTGGATCAGCTCACAGGAATGTCTTCCACATATATAACCTGATACAGAAACTCATGTTTGGAGTCACAAATCATGTGTTGTCTTGTGTCATCTCCTCACTTCTCTCCATGTTTTGTTACTTTGAGCTCCACTGAAATCTTGAGTGAGTTTAGTTTGTCTCATCTATACAAGTACTTTCAAACCTGAGTCAAGCTGAGTCCAAGTGTGTCAACTGGAAGTCATTTTATACATCGGTCCGTACTGCTGTTGGCTGATGATGTTCCCCTTGCAACAAGCAGCCTTTCTTGTTCAAGACAGTTTTACACAAAGTCCTGATCAAATTCACTTAAGTAAAAAGAAAACCTTAAGAGGAGCAAGACTCATTTCCTGCCCCTCCGTGCTTTCATTCTTCCACTCACAGAATGGGTTGGGTTGGAAGCAACCTTTTCAAGGCTCTTCTAGACCAACCCCCCTGCAATGAGCAGGGACATCAACTAGACCAGGTTGCCAGAACCACATGGGAAAGAGAGGAATCTTTATACACTTTGGAAGCCTCTTCCTCACACAGCCAGTTGCAGCACTCCATTCTCCATTGCTTCAGGAAGAAAACTGTCACCCAAGATCAGGAAAAGCAGAACTCAGGAGTTAACCAGTGCATGCAAGGTCAATGATCCGAGGAACAGGTTCAAAACTACTCACACAAAAGGCAAATTTATGAATCAAAACGGAAAAGAAGCAAGTTTCCAAGTGTGTGACCAAGTTTAATGATACATCTGTTCTGAAACACTCGACCATCAATAACATTGCATGGGTTCCGATGCCCAGAATGTTACTTCATAGGTGTTTTATATGAATATTTACAAAGACTTTCAAAATTCAGTGGCACTAAACAAACGAGAAGAACTTAAAACTTTAAGCTACAATGCTTAAAAAATGTAAACAGTTTATTTTACAGAGTTGTAAAATAGAAGAACTTTCTAATGCAGCTTAATTTTATCTGTAAGGTGACTATATCCTGGTGCCCGTGAAGAAGGAATGAGAGAATTCTTTACACAAGTATTGTGCTCCAGTGTGCAAAAAATCATATATAAGAAAAGAATTGAAAGTCCACAACAATTAAAAGACAACAAAAAGAAGTTTTCCACGTCCTGAAGTTGAGAAATTTATAAAAACATTTACACATCTTGCTGACTCATCAGAAGCTCCCATAACTTAAACCTCGCAACAACAGCGACTACAGATTCAACATCTTACCCAATGGAATCTTGTGCAAAAAGCAGACCAGAGCATTCCCCCAACCTTCCCTTCCCATCCCTGACATCTAGTGGCCACTGGCACCACCGGAATCCTTTTGATACCTGTTCAAACGAGTGCCCGTAACCAACGCACGTGTGTTCCTGCACAGAGACCCCCGCAGGTTCACAAGGACAGCGCAGAACAACTGCTCATAGGAAGTTTAGAGTCTGAAGTTTGGCAGAATTATTCTCAGACATTCCTCTCTATTCTACAAAGCCCAGGTGTTAAAGGCAGACGCTGCTTTCCCAGGACCCAATATTTGAGTAGCCTTAAAAGAAAGATTTAAAAAGAAATCAGCCTGTAACATTATTATATTAGATACTCTGCTTCGCCCGCGTTATTTCGGGGGGTGAATCCCACAGTACCATAGCTTTGTGCTGTCACTTGCAGAACAACTAAGATACATATTTCTTTTTGTTAATGAAGACTTTGATTGCTCCAGTGAAGTCGGCTGATAAAAGCACTTCTGTGTGATCTGTCTTCAAAGCTCCTTAAGAAGGAAAGAGAATAAACTGTTAGTTCATCTAAAAAAAATGTATTAAAAGATCAAGCTCTCATTAAAAGCTAAGCTCTTGCTGTGACACCTTTCCTCCTTTATCACATTCCTGTTATTTAGCCAATACCTCAAGGAACATTTGCACCTCTTGGAAAGGGAACTTGCATTAGAGGGCTGGAGAAAGGCTGACAGAGCTGAGCTGGTTCAGCCTGGAGAAGAGAAGGCTCCTGAAGGGGACACCTTAGAGCAGCTCCAGTGCCTAAAGGGGCTCCAGGAAACCTGGAGAGGGGCTTTGGACAAGGGATGGAGGGACAGGACAAGGGGAATGGCTTGAACCTGCCAGAGAGGAGATCGAGATGAGCTCTGAGGCAGAAGCTCTTCCCTGGGAGGTGCTGAGGCGCTGGCACAGGGTGCCCAGAGAAGCTGTGGCTGCCCCATCCCTGGCAGTGTTCAAGGCCAGGTTGGACACAGGGGCTTGGAGCAACCTGCTCTAGTGGAAGGTGTCCCTGCCCGTGGCAGGGGTTGGAACTGGATGAGCTTTAAGCTCCCTTCCAACACAAACCATTCTAGGATTCTGTGTTGGTACAATTCAACTTCCCAACAGCTCAAATGTAGAAAGAATAATCCTAAAGTGCAGAGGGCAGTAGCTCTGCCCCTCACTTCACATGCTCTCAGGTTTTAAGAATACAGCAGTTATCAAAATGTTTAACTGCTAAGGCAGGAATGTCCATGCCCCTGCAAGGACTTTTCTTCTCAAGAACTCTCCTCCCCAAATGAATAATCTTTTCCTCCTCATACCATGGCATCAGGCAGAGCTCATCTTAAACACCTACCAGAGGGTATGGTGTCTGACGTTTCAGAATCTTCTCCCTTACTTTCGGCTTCTTGCTTTTCTGAAGTTTCCAGTGACACCATCAACCCAGGATTGGGAGCAAAAATCGCTGATGTGACCACTGCATTGTGAGCTTCAGAAAGAAAACCCAAGTTTGGTTACGTGGCTTCAAGGAACTGTTCGTTATACAAGAACATCAAGCATCAGTTTCAGTAAATATCCAAAGATCTCAGTGCTAGTGGCACCAGGTAAGCTCATCATTCAGAAACTGTCACTGGTTTATAAGCTTGGGAAGCCCAGAAGTTCCTGTAAGTGCCCAAAACTAACTGGTAAGGGCTCTGGAACATGTTTAATAGAAACACAGCCCAAAAACTTGTGTGTGTGTGTGCAGGAGACAGTTGCTCCTTTTTTGCATTGTTTTCAGTCACTTTCCCATAAAGGATCTAAGGATCAGTTTCTACACTTACACAATCAAGCTCTGCCAGCACAACGTTCTTACTCAGTTTTGCTGGCAGAACCTGACTGAAGTTCTCTTACTGAAACTGGACACACTCTGGGCTGCTCTGTCTCTTGCCACCCCAAGCATGCATCTGCAGAGTTTCTTGTGGACAAGGTTTTCTGACAGGCCACTTACTGAAAACCCACCCGTTCCAATGCACTAAGTGAACAGCACTGCTGAGCAAATGAAAGAACATTAAAAGACTTCAGTTTTGAAATCATATGAGCTTTGATACAACACAGATCAAAGACTGGTTTTTACCTTTAATGCCTTCCCAGAAGTCATTACGGTCTCTCCTTACAGATGTGAACTTGCTCAAGTCATGGTATGTACTCCAGATATACACATATTTATCTTCTGAACCACTTACGATGTAGGTAAAGTCATGGCTAAAGATTCAAAGAAGGAAAGACATTACTTTTCTTAGCTGTGCAAGCACCCATTACAGCAGCTCTCCAGATGATGTGCAGCTTTACAAGTGCAATTAGGCCAAGGTCACAATTCAAACTGATGCTTTATTTCAGTGACTGCACCTCAAAAAAGGATAAAAATATAAAAAAGCACTTAAATGTGTGCATGCAAGTGCCTGAGGCTCTCCTGCTGGAAGGAAAAGGTAGTTCTCATGAAGAGCACACAGGAGCTGTTCTCCTGCAGCTTCTGGCATAGAAAAGCAACAAGAAAATGGCATCATCTTGAAAAGCATTTTGTATCTGAGTCTGGAACCTGTGTGAACACCAGACTGTGTAACAGGAACTGTTCACAACAGTCATGGGCAAAAAAATCCACACAGGTGGAAGACGACAGACATTCAACAAGATTGTAACCAGATGACTGTATAATGTACACTGACAGAGCCAAAACCACCCCTGCAAATCCACTTGGGATTTACCTACTGCATGAGTATGCCCCACAGCTATACCCTACCCCTCACTGTGCTGCAGCCCTCTCAGTAGAAACGACTTATCTTGGGAAGTGAATCTGGAGCAGGGGGGCTGGACAAGATGACTCCAGAGGTCCCTTCTAACCTCAGCCATCCTGGGAAATAATGGGTCAGCCTTAAAGATGCTTTCAAAGGCCAACAAGATTAAACTTGACATTATTCCTTAAGCTCTGCTGCCCTCCTCTGCTCAAACATCCAGATTTTCCTCTTTGGCTTCTGCAAGGCTCAAAAAGGGAATAGAACAAACATTCTTCTCCCTCTACTCCCTCTCTTTTACTACTTTAAAGCCCAGTATTTCCATGACAGTCACAACAATACACTCCAACTCAGGAAAGCATCTCAGCCTTGCATAGAAAAAAGAAATCCCACTCAGATCTACAGATCCTGAGAGTGATGATGGACGAGCAGTGACCAACAGCCTTGGGTAGCACTTGGGTGACCAACACATCTGCAGCAACACCTGACAAAACTAAGGAAATAAGACCTATTTATGATGGAGGAGAGAAAAGATGCAGTGTCCCAACCCCATCAGTTCTAGGAGAGTTCCTGCATTACAGCAGCAGTCACAGACAAGCATCGTGCTGTCAACATAAAAGGACTCAATCCTTCACAGTAGCTCCCTGCTCACAGGCAGCTTTGTCATTCCTGACCACAGCCTTTACTCACCTTTGTACTCGGAGCCAAGTGACATTTCAGAGGCTCAGTTTCATACCAAGGTAAACAGATTAAACAAAAGCCTCTGTACTTCAGCCACAGCATTTCCCAAACCCAACAACTCCATTGTTATATTGTCTTACCTAAAGCTAGCTTTGATTTGGCTGCTGCTGTTGACATAACCTTTGTATTTCATAGACAAAGACAGATCTCTCAGGTCATACAATCTGATCCTGGAATCGTTTGATGTCACTAGTATCTATAAAAGAAATAAAATTTAGGAGTGGAAACCATTAGCATGCCCAAGAAGGAGAAACAGAATTCATTCAGAGTCAGAATTCAGTTCTTTTGATTAAAAGAAGTGACACACACAAAGAATAGCCCTAAAGAAGCAGAAGGATTAGGCAGTGACAGTTTTCTCTCTCATCTTCTGTCAACGGACAGAACACAAGTTCACTGTCAAGATCATCCTGCTTGGTCTGAACCAGAACAACTCCTCTTTACTGAAGTAAAATGGGGGCCCAAAGAAAAGTCATCAGTTTGCAAAGGCTATTTTGGAGCACATTCCACAATAATGCAGCAGAGCAGCTTTCTAGTGAGGTAGATTCCTGGCGAGTTGTGACCTATCACTCACGAAGCACAGAACCAAGGCCATTAGCTGCTACAGACACAAACTGGGCTTTTCTTGGTCCATGCCAGCATGCTTCCTTTTCACGTGTTTCAGATCAGAAGCTTAAATGTACTTCTAAGGAACAGAGAAGTCTATGAAAAAGGGTTGTCAAAATGCATAAGGGCATCCAGCTGATGAGCCCTTTAATGCTACCTTAGAAGTAGAGCAGGCTGTAGGTTAGCAGAGAGCCTCAAGATGCTGCTAGGAGAAGGGAATAGCAGAGCAGCAGTCAACTACTGAGCCCCACTTATCTGGTCCTTTATGCAACAAAGTTGGAACAAGTCTTGAAACACCATCACATTACAGATCTTCCTGCTTGTTTTCAGAAGAGTTCATGCTGAGCTGTGTTTTATTACACCATCTAACATGCCAACGCACAACACCTGAGGCAAACCCAAAGGCACTACTGAGTTCTGAATCTTCTGCATGTTTTAGGGATTCAGCAATTTCTCTGGCATTGATCAGGGTACAATACAGGTGGTAGCAGCTGGTGATCTGCTCCTCTGATAGACCCAGCTGGTGACCCCACATCACCCCTGAAACTTTATATACAAGAGAGGAACTCTCCAGCTATAGGTTATGAGTTTAACATTCAACAGCATATTCTTTGCTTGATGAGAATTTGAGCCTTTCACAACATAAGACTTCAGTTTAGACTGAAGCTAAACAGAAGGACTGATTCTGACTCTGGAGTACACTTGTTTGGATACACTTGTTTGGATAACAGCTTCTGAGCTTTCAGCATCCTAGCTTCTGTATGAAGCATGATTCCAAATGAGTATTAAATTTGAGGGAGGTTAGTTATGCCAAAGAAATTTTTACTGAAAGCCACCTGTAAAGATTTTCTCACCTTTACATTAATCAGAACATAATGTTACTTAAAAAGGAAATAATCTATTTTACTACTATTTAGTATTGTATTAGCCTTAATCAGCAAAGAGTAGTGTTCATTTTAGTACTGTTAAAAGATTTAAGCCAGTGACTACAAGCAAGACTTAACACAAACTTACTAAGCATTAGATATAAATACCAGGCTCCAGAACTGAGCTAAAGCTTCCCTGAAAGTCAGTACCTTATTTTCCCCAGGCAAGGGTTCAATGCCAGTAATTTTCCTTCCAACTCTGTTTCGGCCTCTGGTAGAACGGACATGTATTTGTGTGTGGTACTTCAAGTGCTGACAAGATATTTGAAATAATTGTGAAAACAAGTTTTAAAAGGTTTGTTTCTTGGTATTTAAATAAGTATTTGAAATCTGTTGGTTATTTAACATAAAAAAAATAAGAGTCTCCAAAAGGTTTTACCTCAGTGTCATAGAAGATGCATCTCCCATCGTATGTGCCTATGACTGCGTATTTGCCATTCTGGCAGAAGTTGGCAGCTGTAATCAATTTTGTCTGCCCATCTACTTCATTCCATAATGCCACCTTCTTGTCAGGAATGTTCCAGAGCCGGAGCTTCCCATCCAATGAACCACTTAAGAAGTACCTATCATCCTGAGAGGACACACACTACGTTCATCTCTGCTTGTGCTCCGAGTATGCCCTACCTTCCTTAAAGCCTTCCCGCCCCATTGCCAAACAGCTTCTCTCCAGAACCTCCCACATAAGAGCTCTCAGATGAGTTGATTATAACGTTTAAGAAGGCCAAAAGGACACTATTAAAACTACTGGTAAATGGAGAGCAATTTCTTACAGATGTTTTACAAGATTACACACACAGGGGGAAGACTCTTAAAATGTCAAATTCTGCCTCTCGAGAAGAAAGAGGGCAATTGCACTTACCCTTGGATGGAATGCTATAGCAGTGACAAAGTCTATATGCTGGAAACAGCAGAGACATTCTCTTCTTGATATGTGCCATAATCTCACAGTTTTGTCCATAGAAGAAGAAAGCAAGAAGTAATTCTGTGAAACAAGAGCATTCCATGGTTACTAACAGACACAACTAACAAAATACAGAAGCAATCCAATTGGTAAAACCTTCCCAACTTCCCTCTTGCCATGAAATTCAACATTTTATCCTTTTAGATAAAATGTTACTGATTGCTTTCCTTAGGATCAGTACACTGATGCTCACAGAAGATTTTCTGGAAGACTTTCGATGGAAATGAGTGCTTGGAAAGTAGTTAAAGTATTCAGAGAAGAACTGCACAATATGCTTCAGAGAAGGGGTAAGAATCTCTCCTGCCTAAGATCCTGCAGCCAGAGAGCCAGAGTGTGTTCTTCAAATTACAACTCCAATTCCAGTATGGTGAATTAAGTGAATAAGCTTTATGTGAAACAGTTTGAAGGTTGAGCACAAAGCAATTCCCTAACTGTAAGACAATATATTCAGCAATTTTAGAATGTGCCCACTTCCACTATTCCAGCTGGAGTAAGTGTTGCCTCCACAAACCTTTCCTCTTAACTTCGGTGACCGTTTCGTGTTGTTTAGCTGTATCGTTCCAATGGCAATGGATAAAGGAAAACAATAAAAACATAGGAGAACTGCCCAGTCTGTACTGAGGTGCCTTACTTTAGACCAGGAAAGATCAAGAAGATCTGCTGTATGCCCTTTGTATTTGCAAAATGGCCGCTGGCGAAATGGGGCGTTTTTATCATCTGGGTCTTCATCAACTCCACTGCAAATCTATCAGAGAAATGGAGAGAAGCATTACAAAATGTCAGCTGGGAAATTAACAATAGGCAATTGCTGCTTAGCAAAAGTACAGGGCCAGTAACCGTGTGAAGAACAATTCTCATGGCTTTAAAATAAATGACCCTGTGCTGATAAACAACCCCAGTAAACTTCAATACAATGGGCTGTGAAACATCATCTTGAAATTGACTGAAGATGTCTTTTGATAAGACAGTTTGTCTCTGCTTCAAAAAGACAAGCCAAGAACTCTTTAATGTGTGTCTGGATAAAGCAACAGTGAAGACCTGCCTTTACAGAGCAAGTATCTAGTGCACGTACCCCTGCATCGGTATCAGACTTGGAAGAATTCAGACTCTCTTGAGATGGAGAGGGAGAGACACGGCCTAGAACATGGTCAGAAACATCATAGTCAACTTTAAGCTTCCAAATAACTACAATTTTTAGTGGTTTAGAGCTCTAGGGCTGCACAGAAAGATACCTTCTGTATTGTACTTCATCCGCATGTTGTTGAAATAGTCAAAAGCATTCTTTAAAACCCATATTCTTACTACGTTGTCCTGTCCTGCAGATGCAAGTAATCGACCACAGTGAGAAAACTTCATTGTCCAGACAGCACCCTGTCAAAACAGAGAGGTCATTAAGTTAAAGTGCCTTTTTCCATACCAAAAAGCCTTTCTAGAACATCAACTGACATATACAAGATACTACAAGTAAAATAAATTGTAGATGAAAAGACTAGAAGTGGTTGTTAAGGCTGGTGGACTGTGCAAGAACAGTTTGAAAGGAACAGCCCCAAGGCAGACCAGAGTGTTCTACATTAAAACCAGCACAGTGGGTGAGAGCCAGCCAGGGCTCTGAGTGACTTACAACCTGCTGTTTGCTTGGTAGAACCAACAAGTATTTGTAGCTGCACTTGAAGTTAGCACAGGCTGTGCTAACACTATTTTTCTAAGTAGAATTGTGCTTGGTCACATCAAGTCTGGCAGCCCAAATAAGCACTACATCTACTGTTTGTTACATTCAGAACTGGCACAAGGATTTTGCAAGGCCCATGAAGAAAACCATTCTTCCGTTGCAAAGTCTAAGAGTCAGCAGTCAACAGAGCACAGCACCACACAAGCAGGATTCCGTTTCTTCCTGTTATAATGCAGAGCTATTAGGCATCAATCCACCAACCTAGCATCCTTTTGGGATATTTTTGAGGAATTTCCTAGGTTTTAAGGAACCAAATACTGGCATGACAGAAACAAACCCAGACAGATTACCAGTAGGGCTGAAAACTTCACTTGTGGGTGACAAGCTTGAAAGTTCTGATCACCAACCTGGTGTAGGTCATTGTCCTCAGCCTAACACTTGGAGCTGGGGGACTGTTTCAATTGGTGCCAGGCAGTTGCTGTCAGCAGAAGAATCTGGGAAGCCAGGAATGCTAGAATGGAGTTCTGAAGGAAGCGTGCACACTTCCAACAGTGATGAACAGGTAGTTTTTGTGCCTCATTCTCTACAGGCATCTCTGCAAGTATCACAGCTGTCTCTTGCCTCTTTATCATTCTGATACACATACTGCATTGATCTCTCCCCACTTTTGCCTCCAGAACCTATCTAGTACTTCTGTTCCATACTTGTGTTCATGTGTCTAAATGCAGACTAGTTTATTTACTGCTGAGCAGGTCAACCTTGCTGCTCTGTGCTCAGTTCTGGTCGTGGCACACAGCTTATTTCAACCTAGATTTGGAACTGAAGGAACAAAAAACCTGAGTACCACTCATACCAAAACTCTTCAAGGAAAAGCTCTGGAGAATCCCTGCATTCTGAGTATCTACAGATTCTCTCTCCCCTGAAGATCTGATCAAACCAGCCAAATTCTCATTTCTTGCCAGAATATTATGTTCCAGAATGCAACTGCTCATCAAGAACAAGAAGCCTGACAGTCATTTCTGGAGGTCATCAAGTAGATGAAAACTAGAAGTTGAATCTCAGGGTGAAGAGATGAAATTTGAGACCTACCATGTGCTCTCCACTGAGATCCTGAACAACTTTAATCTGTTCAAAATCATAAGGTCCCTTGAAGCCATGTGCTGCTTTGAACTTAACAGGTCTTGTATATGGCATCCCTTCATCATCACTGGAAGAGGGATCGTCTTGATCTGTATGGAAGACTAAGAGGAACACAAATTCAGCAGTACATACCACAGCACACATTTCATCTACTAGTAAGCATTTGTCAGTACTTTTTGGTAGCAGGTTAGTCTTGAATAGCAAATTTTTACAGGCAATTTTAAGCTCTTAAAGCAAAACAAGAGTACTGCTGCATTAATGTCTAAAAATACATCTACAGTGATTTTATGTTGCAGTGAATCCAGACTCTGAACACTCAAAGTAAGAGCTGCTATCCACTTTTGTTCTGCCCCTTTCTTTGCACCCCTGTGGCATTCAGCAGATCCTGTACTAAGTGATTTCTGTCAGTTTAATGTGTCTGTATTGGCTTCTTCAGATTGAAGAGGCTGAAATGGCCTGGTCATCTGCCCACAAAGCGTAAGAATTACAAAAGAGCTGGGGCAAACAGCCAGTGGCAATGCAAGATGCTGAAGTGCAGCAGTTCTATGGCACTTAGCTCAGGCTGTGGTTAGCTTGGCTTACTGCAGTACTAGAAGTCTGTCTGAAAGAAATATTGATGAAACAAGAGGAGAATTCCGTTGCAGCTGGGAAATCTTCTAACAGCAGCTGAAGCTATATGAGAGCTAATGGTGGCGCTGGTTGTCAGAACCAATCTGATTTTATTGAACTAATGAAGACAACATGCACTTCTACCTTTGCTACAGTAACTCCCCCCCCACCCCCCAAGAAAATTACATTTTGATATCCAGGCAGCTTTCTAACAGCACAAGAAAAATGAGAGTATTCAACTGGTGTAGCTGAAAAGGTCTCTCAACTATTACTCTACAAGAATCATTCCTTGTCATCTGCTGGTCTCAAAATGCCTACCCAAGGTACAAGCTTTAACTCTAAAATTGCTACATCAACAACTGTACAGTGGTAGAATAAGCAGTTTATGTCTCTCAGCCACCTTTGAGTCCTAGAAGCCCTCAGATAAACAGACTATCCTATTAAAAATATATATGTATATGTAAAAGAGTCAGTGTCACTTACCTTCATCTCGAACACTCTTCACTTTGTTGACAGCGCGTTCGCCGTACTCCTCAGCAAGGTGCTTTGCTCGCTTTACAGACTTGCCAAGGAACTTCTTCAGCTGGGTCCTTAAAAAGCAAAGGCACTTTTTCAACACAACACTGTCAAGTTCTCATTTTTCGCTATTATGGATCAATAGTTTGGATTTGAAATGCAGTATTATCTTTTTCCATTACTGCTTCGCAAAATAAGGGAGTAATCTTCAGTTCAACTGCAGAGCAATGGGCTCATGTAAATTCAGGCATTGCTTGTATTTAAAAGGTAACTTGTTCACAGGTCAGAAGGGGAGCTTCAGCTTGGAAAAACAAAGCCTGCCTTTTCTTTGTAGGGACATGAAACAGCATCTTACGTTTTCTGTTTTAACCTCCCTCCATCAGAGTCCGTTTGCTGGGTCTGCATTTTGTCTTCATCATCAGACTGCGCTGCATCGTTACTAGGAAATACAGAAGTGATTGTTTAATATGAAGTCAGAATGAACCTGAAGTGAATGAAACATCAGTAAAGTAGGATCTGCATTTTAGGATCCATCTTTATTCCTTTGTGTAACACACTGGAAAAACATGGAGGTGACGTGAGTCAATAAAGCAGATCTTTCAGTTTTTAGGCATCCTGATACTGAAACTGCACACACTCTCCAGAGGCCAAAGATACATTAGCCCCTTCCACAGACTGCAAACTTCAGCTTACTGTGAAGCTTTGAAAGCTAAGAGCAGACAAATTAGATTTGTCTGGTAACATGGCACCTTGTTCTCAAACCTTGTTTTTTTAGATCAAATACATTAATAGTGGCTAATTCTGTACAGAAGTTCAGCCACAGAAGAGCACAGCTCTACAGAAGTGAGCTTTTCAGTGACAAGTCAGCAATGCAAAACCCCTAAAGATTGTCTGATGTATAAATTCACATAAACCCAGACCTTTGAAATCAACATCTAGACTGCCATGATTTGTGATCACTAAGAAACTGTATTTTTCTATCAAAGTTAACAAAAAGACTCAGCTTTAAACACTGGAAGGGCCTAAAGCTCTGTTGAGAACAGGGAAACCTCAAAGCAGTGTGATGACAACAGATCTTCAGAGGACCAAAGTCTACTAATTTAAACACTGAAAAAGCTACAGAAGGTGACAGCACAAACATGCAGTGATTGGACATAAGCTGTGCTTAATTCAGTACAGAAACGACAGCATGCAGCACATCAGGTGCTAACTGCAGCTAGCACTTGCCTGTCAAGTGCCAGCAATGCCTTCAACTTTTAGTTAAAGGAATTCAATAAACAGCCTACTTCAGAGAGAGCTGGGAATTAGCACTCAAATTAGATGGATCAGGACTCTCTGGCACAAGAGCAGCCTCCACATATGCAAAAACTATGAGAGCAACAGTATCAAAGAGGTGAAAGCTACCATCATTCATACCTGACATATTCTTTAGTTCTCCTCATGATATGCAAGGTTAGAGGATTGATGCCTGTTGGCAACTTCTCTTCTGCCAAACTCAGGGGTATTTCTTCACCTGTATCGAGGTTTTTTATCATTACACTGGCTAGAATTTCCTATGGAAAAGAAAATGTGAAAACAAGATGACTTGATTAGACTCAGGAATCACCTGACCCATACAAATTGGTTATCCTAATGGGAAATTCTGTAGCTCACTGGATATGTATTTTACAAAGACTACGTTTAAGAGAGCTTTAGTGTGTAAGCACCAACATCAGCAACCACTATACAGAGATGAACTATTACATGTCACCAGAAGCTTCCATTTCATAAATCAGAAATGCAGCTATAGAGACATCAGCCACTGCCTGACACCTTCCATGCTAATGTCAAACATCATGTAATTAAAAGAGATTGAGCTCTTTTCCTTTCAGATATCCTAACAGCTGAAGTTTTGCTTCAGTCAAAGGCAACCTTTACCTCCAGAGAAAAAGCATTTAGACCTAACTAGTATTACACAAAGGAAAAGGGTTTTTTTGGACCATCTCATGAACATGTACATCTGCGCAGTTAACAGTTAAAGCATCTATACACAGATAAACAGAAAACTGGCAGCAGCCTGCTAACTTCATCAGGATTAATGGAAGTTATTAACTGAAGAAACTGGTTTTTAATGTTGGGAAAAATCATTCTCCTATTGCTGACTCTTTCC